GCAGCAAGCACACAGGGTGGTACGACTGTGTGGTCTGAAAATAGCCCAGACAGAGACACTGGAAGCAACGGGAATGATGAGTGTACAACCAGCTCATAGTCTGGAATAATCTGGATTAAGGCTGATGACTGCAGTCCAGTTAAGAGCGGTCATCTGTTGTGGTCTTATGTTGTGGCCTTCAGGGTCAGGAGGGATTGTGTTGGTTCTCTGCTGGTTAAAGCTCTGGCAATTAATCCGCTTTGAAATATTCCACTTGCATGTTTGAACCCGTCGGGACACCAAACTCTTTCCCTGACAGAGCAGCAGCACTCGCAGGTGGATTACAGTAAAGATGTGTAAGGTGGAGGTGAAGGCAAGGTGAGTCAGAAAGAGAGTCACCTCACCTTGTAACATATTGTAATCCAATATGACTCCCTTCTTTTGCGTCACAGAAGGGATTTTTTAAAAGGTTTTGTTTTGAAGAGCCTCACTGAGCAGGATTTCTGATTTTTAAAACACACATCAGGCTTATGTTTTATTAAATTACAGTTAATTTCTCCACTGATCTTTTTCTACAAAGACATTTATGTTACGAAGAGATTTGTTTGCCCTAACAGTCTTTTAAATTTCAACAATATTCTGGTGCATTTCCACTTTATTATCATGTAAAGTTTCTGACTATTGACCATGCAACTTGTTTAGAAAATCGAAATATAAAAGGATAGACTTCTTATGCAAGACATTTATACAAAGGCTGGTTTGTAGCAAAATTACTGAATGAAAGAAAAGGAAGATAAACAGAAAAGCAACATCCCTTTCTTCTAATTCAAGGTTTCAATGTTCTTCTTCAACATTAGATATTCTGCAGAACTATTTACTTCACAACACTTTACACCATAGAGGAGTTGGTCTGAAGTTAGCTTTGCCTCAAAAACCTTTTAGCCTTGATTACATTGCAGCATCTCAGCAAGTATTTGATTAATAGCAGTGTCATTTGCTAAAGATATTCTTAGTCCCTTGTATTTTGCCAAATGCTCAAAATTGCAAGCAAAACACTTTCTAAATGTCAGAGCTTTGCCACTGTTTTGGTTAACATTTAGCTCTATGAGGGCCTCAGTTTACACAGTTTCAACTCTGTTCCCTTCAGTTGCAGTTGAACTTAACAGAAGATTAAGTTCAACTGGTAACAATGACATTGTTACCTGGTCTTTCCCAAATAGTGCAAAGTCAAAGTAAGTGGATGAAAATCTTCTGAATTTGAAGACAGTAATGAAGAGTTTGTCTGTTATTATTGTGGCACTTGGACAACAGAGATAATTTTGTTATGTGTGTGGTTGAAGTAGCGGAAATGTGCAAATCTCAGATTGAACAAAATGTGAAACATGCAACTTATACAGTAGTTTGAAAAAATGTATTATGTGGTAAAATAAAAAAGGAAAGAATACATTCTTATGACTGTAAAAATAAGTATACGAGGTCAGATTAACTTTTTAAGTTATTAATAATATCAACTAAAAGCTCAAAATTAATCCATGACTTCCTCTTTCCTTAGGGAGTCAAGATATAGACAGAACTGTTTACCTTTGCTGTTCTTCTAAAGTATTACTTGTGTGTAATTTCTGGTTTGGAAAATTAAGATGAATTTGTTTTGAGGAAAAACATTACGTCACTGCGGAGCCTGACTTTGTAAAACAACTAAGTGAAACAAGAATCCATCTCGTTTCACAAATCAATTCCCTTGATTTAATTCAGAATGATTAATTTTTGTTTTAGATAAACAGATACTTCTTTCAGTTTTTATATTTTAAATGCTACTTTTAATTTTAAAATTAAATTCTAATCACGCCCTTTGTTTCAATCTATATATTTTTGTTGTATTTGTAAATCTTTACCTTTGACCCTGCTCATGTTATGTTGTATCAAGTTAAACTGCTATGTTGTGTGAAAAAGACAAAGAGGCCTCTGAACTTCAGATCTTTATGTAACTTCAAGCTTGATTTCAAGGACTCAGTGTTCCTCTGTGTGGAGACCAGTGTAATGGATTACTGGGACGATTAAATCCCCCAGTTAAGACCCTTGAACAGGAACCCCTGACCTTCGACATGCTGAGTCATGAAAATTAGAGAAACTCTGTTTCTTAGAATCATCCATAAATCAAATGAATCAGCTGTACATTCTGACCCGTACAGACCGAATGAACCTTCACCTTCATCGTCACAAACCTGATGTAAACATCTCTTTCTAGAAGATTCATAATAAAATAAAATGCAAGGTAGTTAAAGGTCAGCGAGAGTTGAAACTAGCTCGTCTTGACTCAACAGCATTCTGCCAAGGTTATTCTCAACTAGCAGCTTGGATCAACGGGACAAGGGAGTGACTCACATTCCCGGGTCTCATGGTGAGCTTGTGACTTTACATTCCCACCCGCTTTCTTTTGTACATATTGGCATGCAATTCCATCCCACCCCCTTCTTCCAAGAACCATATGTTCAACACAGTGGGTACAGTGCATGACAGAGAACATGGCTTATCTCGTGAACATTGGAAACTCTGGAGAGTCTGATTCACTCCTTTCACCACTGTCGCCACTTGTTTATTTGCTCCTCAGGTCTGATCATTTGTTAGCCTCACATATCCACAGACTAAAAAACAAATAAAGCAACATTAGTTAGACTCAGGTGGTGAAACGGGGTGGTTTTAATCTCTCTAATCCACCACATTTAACAAATGATAGAAACTCTCCTGAGTTGGGTCAAAGGAGGTAAATTTCAAGACACACAATAATGATTGAAGTAAATCAAAAGAGACAAAAGGGAATCATATTTAAAAACTGCATAATTATAGTTTCAATCTCAGACTGAAATAATGGAGTAGGGGGTGTTGTGTTAACTGAACTCTTCCAACTAAGATTGAAACAAATGATAGATTTGGATAGACTGTTTTGTACAATCTATTATTTTGTTTTGTGAGTTTCTTTAGCAATTTATAGCCTGAATACGGAAAGTATACCTGAATCTACGCCAAACTGTATTCAGATATATTGCTGTCAATAAAATACACCAAAGAAGAAGGCATAAAGTATAAACATAAAGCATGACATTGTTACCTTTGAAGAGCTTGTGCTTCAGGGCTTTACGGGAAGTGAATCTATAAAGTAGTTTTTGTCAAATGGTTGATTAAATATATCTGTGAAACTACAACAAGTGGATTGGAACCACTTTGGAAATGTTTAAATATGTTGTTTGGAAAACATCAATTTAGGGAGAAAAAGAAAACCTATATTTTGGACCTGCTTCTGGGCTAACATCCATGCCAGATTGTGGGTTGTCCAGAGTTGTGTTTTATGACAGATATGATGTTGGTTATGACCACATGATAACCGAGCACATTACCTGCTTGGCTCACAGCTCCCTCTGACAATAAAATTATGACTCAAATTGTTTAAAAAGCTGCAAAACAAGTTTTGCTTTTAATTCTACAGAAAAGGGAAGTGGGTTAGCAATATGTTTACATGACAAATATGAAATATTGAAAGATGAAAACATGATGATGGAGATGCAATGTATGAACTAAAATACATTGTTCACACAATACAATGTATTAATAATAAATTGTTTATATTGTTCAATACAATACAATCTGAGGTAGAGGAGTACTTTCTGGCTATTCAGCATTTAATACAGTTTTTTAAAAGTTGTATATTAATCTGCTTCTAAAGCTGATATCAATGTTCTTGTGAGCGTCACAGTCCCAACCAAATTAAATACCGTACCAACGTCAATCTGCAGGTACTCTGTGATCTTGTTTCGCCACAGGAGCCTCTCTTTTATCTTTTCCCTTTGACCAGCACTGTGGACTCTTTGTGTTAACAAGGATTTCTCTGAAGTGACAAAGCTAAATATTCTCTTAAAAAGAATGATGTATGCTACAATACCCTGATTTCAAAGGACAAACAGTCAGGACAGTCTTTGTCAGAGCAGCCTCAACAATGGCGACGGTTGCAGGAGTTTGTCTGTAATTACAAATTACAAAGAAACATTGAAACAAAACAGTATAAGACACCAAAAACTTTGGGGAGATGTGCATGTTCATTAGTGAGAGACCACCTGACATTGCAATCCAATGAATAAACATTATGAATCAACCACTGAATTTGGCTTTGAATTTAATAAGTTTGCAAACAGATTATATTTAACTTAAGACTAAATTTGTTTTCTGACTTCTTCCCAAAATGAAGATATGTTCTTTTCTACATATGGAACTCTGTTATCAGAAGACAAGTTGTATTACTTGTGATGTTTCTTCAGCTGTTCAGCTGTTAATGTAACTCTCTACTGCTTATAACTTCAAAATACACTTGTTCAGAATATAAACTGTTTTAACAGTTTACAAACAGCAAGCTAATTAATAACTTATATTGAAACAGAAATTTTTAGCTGTCATTTTGCCTATCTGCTAGTCACTGTGTGTTAATTCATTGACTTGTGATTCAACAACTGGGTGGTTTTCTGGTCTCTTCTGCTCTCTGGTGGCTGTTTCAGGTAATTTGACTTCCAAAGTTGGGTGTTGGAGAGGAAATAAAACAAACTGGCACACTATAACTCATTTTTGTGACTTTTTGCTTTTATTGGTTTATTTTTTTGTCTGTATCGATTCTAGACAGACAAATTAATCTCTGTTTATAGTAAACAATGAGTATAAACAAACTTGATAAGCTAAAAGGAATCAAACAAGAGCAATTCATGACTTCGTGAATAATCTTACAGCAGAGATGTTCAACTTGTTTGCTTCTTCATCATTCTGCTTTTTTATTATTATTATTTAAATCAGTGATGATTTGGCAATAGTGCGAATTCCAGAACGTGAACGCATCGCGAACTGATTCGAATATGAGTCGGAACGCAAAAGTTCCACTAGTTGGCGCTCATCTGAGCCCTCAAATGATGGATTTGCTTCAGTTCGTTCACTTAAAATGATTCGTTCATTCGAAGATGTCGTTCATGAACGACACATTACCGCTTTTGATTCTTTCTAAGTGTCAGAACTCTCACCGAGGCAGCAGCAGTCACTGAGATTCACTCAGACCTGGAAAAGGATATAAGACCATTATTAAAACATCATGGACTGTGAGTAGCTACTAAATGTGGGCAGAACTTTGTAAAATCATAAACTGAATTTCAATAGGTTCTATTTTAATTTGTATTGCATTCAATAAACGCTGAGTTTACATAATTTTAAATCCAATGTATTGGTTTGAAAAGGATTGTCTGTAAATTTAAATTGAATTTAATATTTTCAAACTGAATTGATTTAGCAGAAACAAAATTTGCCACTGTTTAAATTGACTTTAGTGGAGGGTGTTTTATTTAATGGCGTTATTGATATTGCGTTGCGTTTTTTATAAAACTAAATTGTTGTCAGGACCTTGGACCTTGGACCTTTGATCTTAAGGAGTTGTATCCTAGTTATTTAAAGGCTGAATGAATGAATTTGCTTTGAAACTGCATTTCATGCTAGTAAAAGTTTAGCTCTCAAATACTTTCAGTTTCTCTTCTCACCATTAAATTTCAGTTGGACATTTCAATAGATGTGAGCAGGTGCCCCTTAATAAAACTCATTTATTATAAGAGAAAGCGTCATGTCGTTAAGTTAACATTTATCAGCTACAGTTAACATAAGATTTACTTTTAGGCTATCTTTTGTTTATAGTAGCTTCTTCCTGGACAGGTAATTACTGACCGGAGCGTCAAGCCGCAGACCGCTGCTCATTCGACATGAAGAATAACACAAGTTGATCTGCGCCCCGCTGCAGCCCAAGCATCGGTTCGCTTTGATAAGACATATTTCGGTCAATCTGCGTCTGATTACTCTGTGGCTTGATGTCTGACCCAAAACATTGATTTTAAGTACTGAAATTGAATGGTGAGAACAGAAACTGAAAACTGAATTTTCACAAAGACAAAATTTCAAAGCAAATTAATTCAGTTTAAATTCCGACAATAATTTCCTAAACAGTACATTGGACCTCCAATTATGGTGATTCAGATTACGTTTTTTTCATTTCTTCAAGTCGAGCAATTCATATGGGAAAACTTCAAAATTCAGGTTCTGCCCATATGCAGGGGCGCGGTATAGGGGTGGAAAGTGATGACAATTCTACGGGCCCTGACCAACAGGGGGCCCTCCACAATTTATTTATTTATTTATTTATTTATTGCTCATGTAAATAAACCTATCAGTTACAAAATTAATCATATTGTGTTTTCGAGGATTGTTTGTAGCAGTTAAAAATTAATGTTCCCACTTCCAGACCAAAAAAACACACATCTATATTTGCCCTGGGCCCCCTGCGTTAAATGGTTCGTTCCTGCTTGGTGCGCTTGATGCTGCACCGTCAGCACTAGTCAGCAGAACATAAGAATGACTGTGGCAGCAATGCTGCTAAGAAAAATTATAAAATCATTATATTATTATCATTATTATCTGTCTTATAACAAACTGCTACGACATCGTGACAGCTTTAACAAATATGGGGAAAATATATTTTTTATTAAAGTTATGTGTTGCAGCTTGAATAAAATGCAACTACATAACATTTTTTGAGAAGTCTGGATTGCTCTATGTGTATTTTGCACGTTGTCTGTGACTGTTGCTCATGGGGAGAGACATTTCAGTAATCTAAAACTAATAGAAAAAAATTTAACCAACCTACTTGCATATGCGCACTGTTGGATGTAAAATTCATGAGCAGTAAATATTGTGCTAGTATCAGTATTGAACCAAAGAAAGCAAGTTGCAAGTCTTTAAAATTGTGATGCTTTTTAAGGGTCAAAGAGACTCAAAAAAATTGTAACAACAGCTCCACATGGGGGGCCCAATCAAATTTTTTTGTCAGGGGGCCCAAGATTCCTGGCTGCGCCCCTGCCCATAGGTACTACTTTTTAAATGAGTCTTTATGAGATTGACAGAGAATCAAACATTGTTTAATCAGTTTTCTAATTTAGGATATTCTATCAGGGTTCACTTATTTAACAGCTTTGTTAAACTGTAAAATATATTCCTGACAAAACTTATTTGTGGTACTAATTCAATGTTCTTTTGTCAATATTTTTGTGCAGTTTATTAACCTTATTTTGGTTTTAAAGCTCTCAAATGTAGCCCAATGAGCTTGAAACCTTTGATGAGCTAATCACTCATTTAAACACGGAATGAGTGTATATGCAACTGTCAATAAAACCAGGTACAGTCATGTGGCACAAAATACTTGTAAAGCAGTCAATAACAGCAAAATATATTTTATAATATTATGTAGTTTGTCTTCACTCCTCCACTCTCAATGTCACGTCCTATTCATCCTCACTCACCTATTATTCCCAGTCAAAACTCTCATGTTTGATTGTTTCCAGTTAAATTCTTGGAAGTACTAAAGCCGTTCTGTGCGGTGCTACCACAGATCCAGAAACCTAAGCAAAAGGTAAATATTTTTCATTTATGGTGTTATTATTTTCATTTTATTGAATTACTTTTTATCTTGGTTTATGCAGCTTCCTCTTTTTGTAATTCCTGACAACATGTGACCAACAGATTCCATTCAGAGAAAAGTTGCAATGGACGGCAATTACTGTCTTCATCTTTCTTGTGTTACCAGGTGAGAAAAAAATGCAGTCGATATTTAATACTTTACATAGAATGTCACAAATGGCTGTTGTTGTTGTTATTATTACTAAATCTATGATTCTAAAAAAAGCCAGGTAAGTATTTATGTAATTACTGATATTAATAATTTACAAACTACTTTTTTATGTAAATATGTTAGTAAATATGCTAGTCGACAACATGAGAGCTCCCCTAAATCCAGTTTATTTTAAAAACCATCTTTTTCTTAGATTGTGCTATTTTTTTTTTTCAAAAATGGTTATTAAATTAAAATATCTATATACAAATTTATTTTTACCATGCCAAATATGGCATTTATTGAATGTCGTATAAAATATTAAAAATGATTCCCCATTTGTTTGGTGATAGATTCTGATTTCTTCTTGGATGGAGGTCATGAATAGTTTTAACTCTTGTGTTTAGAAATGGGGTCCAACCGACCCCACACATGTAAAACTTGTATAATTCGCCACAGTCCTCTACATTTACCTCAATCCTTGACACACAAGGGTTAAAAAATAAATATATTTTAAACTTTATCTGCTAACTAATTCAATGTTTCTCATGAACTCTGTTGTTTCAGATTCCCCCTTATGGCATAAAGTCCTTAAACGTTGTAGAGGGAGTTTTTCTGGGTTCGAAAAGTGGTATCCATCCAACATATGCTAAGCAAAATCAAACACAAAACTAAAGTCCTTTTGACATGAGCTAACGGATCTATCTTCATCTAGGTACTCTGATGGAGCTGGGTATCTCACCTATTTTCACCTCACGACTGTTAATGCAGCTGCTGGCTGGAGCTAAGATCATTGAAGTTTTGGACACCCCAAAGGATAGAGCGCTCTTTAACGGAGCTCAGAAATGTATGAAACACTGACCTGGCTGTGATCTAAAAAATTTAATTTGAATTTTGGGTTGTTTAATGTTTTATTGTTTTCAGTATTTGGGATTATCATCACCTTTGGCCAGGCCATTGTTCATGTGATGACTGGCATGTATGGAGATCCATCAGAGATGGGTGCATCGTTCTGTTTGCTCCTCATCATTCAGGTAAGAATGACAAAAAGTTTGTCTAGGCTGACTAAAGCATTTGAAAAAATAATGTGCATATGAGTTGTATCAGGCTGTCACTTGCATGTTGACTAACATTGACTTACTCTCTGCCGAATACAAACCTCATGCCTTCAGACCGCTAAACTCCCAAAACTGGTTGTATTTCTTTGCAGCTATTTGTAACCGGGCTGATTGTGCTGTTCCTGGATGAATTGGTCCAAAAGGGCTATGGTCTCGGTTCAGGAATCATTCTGTTCATTATCACCATCTTCTGTGAGACCATCGTGTGGAAGGCTTTTAGTCCCACCACTGTGAACACAGGAAATAGTAAACAACCACACATCACTGTTCCTAATGTATTAAATATGCCTGTTTAGCTTTTCTGAAACCTGTTTTTCTTTTTCTAGAATATAACAAATATTTATTTTTGTAATTTTATGGTTCAGACACAGAATATGAGGGAGCAGTCATCGCTCTTTTTCATCTTCTTGCCACAAAGCCTGACAAACTGGATGCTCTCAACGAGGCCTTCTTCAGGCAGAACCTCCCCAACCTCATGAACCTCATTGCTACAGTATTTGTCTTTGCCGTAGCTATATATTTTCAGGTGTGTTGCTTTCCATCTGTTTGTGTGATTGATTCTAAATTTGAAATATAACGTCATCTAAAACAATAATCTGATCTTCTCACAGGGATTCAGAGTCGATTTGCCCATCGAATCTTCTCGCTACTGTGACCAACATTACACATACTCCATCAAGCTTTTCAATACCTTCAACATTCCCATCATCCTGCTGTCTGCTTTGGTCTCCAACCTGTATGTTATCTCCCACATGCTTTCCACACGCTTCAGTGGGAATTTCGTAGTTAATCTGCTTGGAACGTGGTCTGTAAGTTCACCTGTATTTATGCTCTTTAATTAAGTTCATTTTAAAGCACTGAACCTTTCTTTAATATACCTAGGTCTTTAACATTGCTCTAAATTTCATAGTCCTTACTATTCTAGTTGTTCTCGACCACATATTGGAAATTAACATGTAACAGGATAGTCACTGTAATATGAGGATCTATTATTATTTTAAATAAAAGTTCAATTCAGAATTTTCAGGTGTTAAGCAAACATTGGTTCCATCTTTCTACTGAAGTTTGATGTCCAAATTTGGCCCAACTTGGCGGCCAAGGCATCGTTAAGGTGCTGGGTGGTTTACACCAGCAACCATCATAAATGTTTTTCCAGTGATTTTCTAGTTGAATACAGAAATTAAGATAAAAGTTTAAGTCTAGTTTTTCCTCTGCCATATATTGGAAATTAACATGAAACAGGATCATCACTGTAATGTGAGAATCTATTATTATTTTAACTAAAAGTTCAATTCAGGATTTCCAGGTGACTCATTTCTTACCTCAGTCTGTTTGCATGGTAGCTACTGGAAAACTAATCAACAGTTTAGGTTTCCAAACTCAAGACAGTGAAAGTAAAATGTCTACACCTGAGACGATGAAAAATAAATTAAGCCCAACCATAAAATGTATTTGCATCACTCTTTGTGAATCAAATTTGTAGTAAGCATTTATTTCATAAAGTTCTAGATGTCTGAACATTTTTCTTTAATAAAATATTCTTCACCTGTTCATGATTACAGAACACAACATCAGGTTCTCCAGCCCGTGTTTATCCTGTTGGAGGACTTTGCTACTACTTCTATCCACCAGAGTCTTTTTTTTCAGTCCAGGCTCTAATTTACATCTTTTTCATGCTCGGCTCATGTGC